GTGCCTTCCTGCAGGGAGCCCTGTGGGTTACAGGGGCTTGTTGTGAGGAGAGAAAGAAAGTGTTGAAGCAGGCACCAGGGCATGGACACGCTTGAGTGAGGGGCCTGTAAGTTTTCTATAACTGCTCCAGGAGCCTATTTTATAGCTACCTCATAAGAGGCCTCAATCTGGCTGCAGACTTTGTTGTAGTGCCCTGGGAGCTGTTGTAGGGGAAGGCAGAGACTGTCACTGACCTTGAAGGGGGACAGTGAGGTGGCTGAAGGCCTGGAGTCTGTTCATTTCAGCATCTGGCTAGGAAGATAATACTTTTTATTACAAGGCTTTTGTAAAACCGTCTTCTCTCCACTATTAGCCCTAACCCCTGTCCACCCTTAGAGATGCTTTAAACCACAGCCTCCTTTGTATCCAGAGCCACGATTTATCCAAGTGGTTTAGGACACTGTTCAGAAATGTCTTTCACAGATGTTGGAGGACATAGTTGAGTGGTTTTTTTGGCAAGAGTTGTGCTTTTGCTTCAATTCTCCTTTAAGTGAAAACGTGTCTTGCTTGTTGTGGGAGTAGTCGCTTCATCTAGGCAGGGCAGGATTTATCAGCATCGCAAGCAGGAGTGAACCAGACGGGATGAGATAGTGGCTTGGCCCTTCTGTTCCATACTCAGGGCTTACACAGCTGAGTGCATCTCTCTGAATTTGTTTTGTTTGGAGCTTCCATGCTGGTCAGTTTGGGAATATCATGTTATATTGCCATGCCAGATTAGGATTTTAAAGTTTCAACATAACTGATAGGATTTTTCCAAACTTTATTGGCAGTGAAACCGTCTCCCCCAGCCCCCAAAAATATATCTTGCCAGGCAACTCAGTATAAAAAAGCAGATCTGGGGCTGGCCCATGGTTCACTTGGGAGAGTGTGGTGCTAACACCAGCCCATGGGTTCGGATCCTTACATAGGGATGGCCGGTTAACTCACTTGGGAGAGCGTGGTGCTGACAACACCAAGTCAGGCGTTAAGATCCCCTTACCGGTCATCTTTTAAAAAAAAAAAAAAAAAAAAAAAAATNAAGTCCCAAGAACCTTACTTATTTCCCTGCCAAGCCACCGATTTTTGGAGGGCCCCCCCCCCCAATCTCGGTAACCCTTATGGCTTCTTAACCTTAAATTCCTCTGTCACTCTCATGACTTCTTAAAACATGTCTTGAAAACCAGCAATATAATCTAAAGCTCTCTCAAATTAATGGATGTGAAAACTGAAGTCCAGGGATGGTCACTGAGTTGTCGAAGCTAACACAGCAAGGTAGTGGCTAAGCTGTTATAACCCAGGTTTCATGATCCCGTTTAACATGTCACATAATCCTATTTCTGCCCTCAGACCCTCATGCCCATCAGTGCTAGAGCTTAAAGGTACAAGGAGGGGCAGTTGTGTTAGGCAGGACCCTATAGGGAGAGGCAGATTGGTGGCTGCTTTGGCAGACTGAAGTCCAGGGTCCAGGACTGGAGCCTGATTCTTTTCACTTGACATGGTATTAATGCAGGACGGTGAATTTATTTAAAAATGATTTATTTATAAATGATTTATAATGAAGATGCTTTTCTAGAACATGTACTTCTATTTGTGTGCTGGCTTACTTAATTTCTGGTAGCACTGATGCTAGCAGGGGAAGTCTAATTCCTGGCAGTCCAATACACAAAAGGACCCCTTTCCAGTCTGCTCTGCTTGGTCTTAATGGAGCTCTTAAATTTGCTCCCCACCCCACCTACTCCAGTGGCTACCTGTTATTGATACAGGAGATCTGTGTCAAAGCTGATGGGGGAATGAGAAATACCAGTGAATATAAAAGCCAAGAATGACAAATTTCAGCTGCGGTAGTACAATTTTTTATTTAAGT